ACACACACACACACACACGCACACTCAGAGTCCTTCCTCTGCCATTGTCTCCCTAAATAACCTTCCAGACACACAGCTTCATCAGCTTCATAGGTAATTTATGATAGCAGCACAGAATGTTTGCATCTTGTTAACACTCTCTGTTCCAGATCATAGAAATATATACAAATGCACTGACATTCTGCAAAGAGGAAGGAAATGCTTTAAAAATGAAACACCCTTTCTCACAAATAACCGAACATGCGCGTGAATAACGCCAGGGAGGAAAATGTTTCCTGATAGAGCAACTGAATTCAGGAAACAATGCCCGGGCCTCTCCCTCTCTCTCATTATTCACACTCGTTGTTGAATGTTTAATAATTAATCACGGATCCATTCAGATCCAGGGTGAGGCCAACGGACAGGCTGTGTGTGTGTGTGTGTGTGTGTGTGTGTGTGTTAACTGTGGGAGTGTTTTCTGACATTGTTTTACCTCTGAGATAAAAGACGGACATTAAGAGGATTGGGTCTTATTGTGAAACACAATGGGAGCACTGAATGCTCACACAACCAGAAAGTGAGCAGGTGAGTGCAGCTCACATTTGCTGTAATTACTTTACAACTGTCCAGGCTGGTTTCACCTCATCAGTGTCCCAGAAACAATTTCAATCAATTTTACGTTCAAAGAGAGAATGGAGCAAATCTCTAAGTCAAACTCAACTTAGCATTGTTCTCATTGCATTCATTCACAAATACGTCCTGAGATGTTGAGATGTTACTGTTGTCTCTGTAAGACAGAACAGACTCAGGACGTCATGTCAGTGAATTTACTCTAGAACTATAATGAAGTATAAATTTGATGTAATACTTGAGTATTTTATACAACTCTATTCTTCTACTTTGCTTCATCTCAAAGGTAAACACATTTATCTCAACCAGTCAATCTAATTGTATTTTATGAGCTCATATTTAAAAATCACAATTTGCCTCAACAGGGTGTGACAACCTCTGCTCTTGGCTCTTAACAAGAGCAAGGACAAGCTACCCAAAACCCTCCCAACAGGAAATTGTGGTCTTTTAGAAAAATGAGGTCTTCACAAAGCATTCTGGATTAGCAGGAAATTGAATCATAACAAAACTGAAACTAATTTCTTTTTCTGGAGATGTGTGGTGGTCATATGGCAAGTCTCTATAACCATATGATAAAATATAGAATATGAAGCTTTGTTGTAGATGAAGTTATAACTCAGCATCCATCCATTCAGTCATTATCTATATCCCCCGTCCTCACCGCACAGAGTATCAACCATTCACTCACACTGAAAAACACTCCAAAGTTGTACGTTGACAATAATTTAATGACACTGTACAGTACATTATTTACTCACTTTACATCGTTGCGCCTTCACATTTACTCACCATCATACATTCACATCTACTGTAACATCTGTGGTTTCTGTGTGATTTATGATCTGTACCGTCACATTAAACGCAGCCTCTTCAATATACATCCTCCCGTTGTAAAAAACCCAGAAACCCAGAGTAAGATGGAGTTTTTATTCCACTTTGACTTTATGACTGTAAGAGTATCTGTTCCCATAGTTCCCTGCTGCTGTGGATGGGCGTCCTTGGGCTTAGCAGGGGTGAACCCCCACCAGTGGAGCAGAAGCTTTTCCGCACACTGAGTGTGAAAGCATCCTAGTTTGTGCAGAAAGGATTCTGTTCGACTGATGGGAGGGGGCATGACGGCATGACGGCAGACTGGTGGATGTTTCTAGCAGACGTCTGCCTTTTTTTTTTTTTTTTTTTTTTTTTACTTTGTGAGTTTCCTCACCAGCTCCAGCTCCTCCACCGGTTTCCACTTCTGATTGATGGTGATGATCTGCAAATAAGAAATTAGGCTTCATGTGACGCATTTCTTAGCGTGACACCGAACTAAAGACACAGATAACATGAACGACACGGTGATAAGAGCCAGGAGCTGAGGGGACATAAACATCATGACTAAATACGCCACAGAAGGCTGGTGCTAATTTGATAAGATTTCCTCCTCAGTGACTCAGCACATTGCAGCTGCACCCTGGACGACTCTGCATGTTCATGAGCCTCCTTGACAACCATCCAAATATTCAAAACATATCATTTAATGTTAGAGTTTACCTTTTGGGATTTTGATGGGTCCACTCTCTCCCATGGTTCTGGGTTGTTGGTCTTATTCAAACTAAAAATGGTGAATGAGAAACATTAAATCATGATAATTAAGCATTTCTTAGCTGATAGAAGTTCAAAGTGTGAAAACAGCAGAAAATATTAGGTGCAGTTTAAAGCACTTTGTAAAATAAATGCAGTGGTTTGATCAAAATGTGGATATATTCAATAAAACTCACATGACATCAGTTTTAGTGAAGAGAAAGTAGAGCGCAGCAGAGGTGGCTCCTGTTGCAGCAAACGCCATGAACCCAATCAGAGGGATCAGCTGGAAAACCCATTAGTAAATTGTTTTTTAAATGTGAATCGTAAAAATAAAATATAAAATATAAAACCAACATCTACGATACGAAATCATTTAACATTAGAACTAAAGACGCTCACCTCCTTTCTCTTTCTCAACATTTGGAAGAATCCAGTCATTTTTATAATTTTTTTCAAACACCTAAAGAGAAATGTATTATATTACATTTAATAAAAAGAGTCAGTGAAGTGAAGTCAACAGGTCGTGAGAAGCAGCAGGACGTGGCAGCACTCACCTGTTGTTGTTGCAGAGAAGTTCGTGACGCCTCTCAGCGCAGCATCCTGTGAGCCGGCCTGATGTAGGCAGGATGATGGGCAGTACGAGGTGAAAGGCACGTAGACAGACGCAGCTTCCTGTACTGAGATGCAGCAGCAGAGTCCAATATTTCAACACATCCACTTTACTGATGATCAATACACTTTCTGGTTGTGCAGCGCTCTCTTGTGGCCACAGTTGTGAAGTGAAAGTCAATGGTCGGGTGACCTTGGGATCATAAAAACTAATTTTAGTCGCTTGTCAGTGAGAAAATTCAAGACACCAACGATCACGTTTCACTTATTTTATTTTGAACATTGTTTTAACAACTCATGACTACACAGGACGTGGTGATGTGCGGGTCGTCATCTGAGGCGTGTTTGATATGTGTGGATCTGCTGTGCAGTGAGAGAGGGGCTCGTGGCTCTGAGGGCCTCCAGGAAGTGAGTGTGTTTGATGACAGAAGCCGCCATGTTCTCTTGTTGAAGCGCCAGCAGAGCAGCCTGGAAAACAAAACAAAAACATTTTTACTCTTGGGATTTATTTTGACTTTGGTCTTGAGATTTTTTTTTGCCTTGGTTTTATTATCGTGTTTCATACGCTGCGATACACTCTGAGTGTGTGTATTTCCTTCTATCGACAAATCAATTTATAAGATATGGCAACAGAGAACTCAATCTTGAATTGTGAATCCGAGCGAAGCTCCCCCCCACAACATTCAGCCTTATCTCTGGTTGAGCTTCACATTACCTCTTTACACAGATTTTCCAGGTCGGCTCCAGAGTAAAGCTCGGTCTTTGTTGCTAGTTCCTCCAGACACACATCAGCAGCGACAGGCATTAACTGCACACACACCTTCAGGACAGCGAGTCGAGCCTAGAAACACAAAAATGATGCATATACAAGATTAGCCAGCTATTTTTTTGCTTTTAAAGACACAATCGTGTAAAAAGTCATTTAACTATCATTTAATTCACTAGTGCTGAACAGCTTTCACAACATTTGATATTTTGATTCACCTGCTGGTCGGGTGGTGGGACGTAGATGATGTGGTCCAGTCTGCCAGGTCTGAGGAGGGCGCTGTCTAAGCTGTCAGGTCTGTTGGTGGCAGCTACAACCATCACATCTTTGTTGCATACTTCCTGGCAGTCCAACTGTCCGAGAGCATGAAACATCACACGTTCACTAAACTGATGAGATGTTTTCAAAGTGATGGAAGATGATGTCATGAGCACCTCTGCGTCATATCTGACCTGGTCTTGTGTGTGAGTCTCCTCCACTCCCTCTGCCTGGAGGATTTTCTCAGTCCCTCTCCTCTCCAGTGACTTCAGGCCGACCCCATCCATCTCATTCAGGAGCACAGACAGGAGGCGTGTGTGCACACCGCTAGATTGGTTGTTCGACCGAGAGCCAATCAGAGAGTCAATCTCATCGAGGAACAGGATACAGGGAGCGCAGGCTCGGGCTTGTTGAAACAGCTGGAGGTGAACAGACAGAAGTGTTTGTGGATGAAACAGACAGGAGTTCATCCACGGGTCTTTTTTTTTAACAGCGCTGTGAAAAGACAGTACCTGTGCTAAAGCCTTTTCTGAGTCTCCGACATAGGGAGAGTAGAGGTCAGCGCCACTGACAGACAGGAAGGCACAGTGGGAGGAGCTCGCTGCAGCTCTGACAAGAGTCGTCTTTGCACATCCTGGAGGTCCGTAGAGCAGCACGCCCCGGGGCTGACTAAGACCCAGTCGTACAAACGCCTCCGGGTACTTCATCGGCCACTCAATGCTCTTGGATGTTCGGACACAAAGAGAACGGGTGTAAACAAACTCAGACGACAACTCTTTGTACAATTCAAACACTGCCATTCATTTACCTGCTTTAGTTTGAGTTTGACCTCATCCAGGCCTCCAATCTGCTCTAAAGACACCGGAGAGAGCTCCGTCCTCCCCAGGCTGCTGCGCAGGCAGGAGGGACGCACCAACCTCAGCGCCTCTTGGAAGTGGTTCATACGCACCAGCTGCTCCCCTGAACCCTGCAGACAATAATGTAAAATCTATTTTACTTGATCTCACAATCATAATCCACTCATGATCAATACTGCTTTTGAGATCCATGGATCTGTGGTTTATATATTTAAAACAAAATATACACACTTCTAAAACTCTTGGTTTTGTCTTTTATATTTCTGTATGGTGCATGGTGTATTTACCTTTGAGCTTTCTCGTAAAGCGTGCATGGCAGCCTCCCTGCACAAAGCACTGAGGTCCGCTCCTACGAAGCCTGAAGTTCTCTGTGCAACCTCTGCCATGTCTACGCTGGGACACACAGGCATCCTCGCACACAGAACACACAGGATGGCTTTTCTCTGTTGCAAAGTGGGAGCTCCAATGATAACCTGAAAAACAGATGTTGAAATTCAGAGGTTTACATTTATCATGATGTAAAGATGTATGGATTCGGTCGTACTTCTCTGTCGAATCTTCCAGGTCTGCGCAGTGCTGGGTCTAAGCTGTCCGGCCGGTTGGTGGCTCCAACGATGAGGAAGCGATCAGACCGATTCATCCCGTCCATCAGCGTGAGGAGCTGAGCGACCAGGCGGTTCTCCGGTGCCGATGAGCCGGTTCTCCTCGGACACAGAGAGTCCAGCTCATCTAAGAACAGAACACACGGGCCCTCTTCAGCTGCAGCTCGAGCGCGCTCAAACACAGCCCGCAACTTCTCCTCACTCTCACCCGGCCGTGATCCCACCACCTGAAATAATCATTAACAAAACATATGAGTAACAATAAACTTTTCACGCTGAGACACTGATGAAAACAAAGTATGGATATATGGATTTTGCAAAATGTAAGTATAAGTAATATAAGTACAAACACTGAGATAGAAAATGTTTATCATATGAAAATACTTACATAGTAATGAAATAAAATCACAAAGACAATTTAAGGATGCCATATGTATTTTAGTTTTACCTCTGGCCCTCTGACCATCACCAGGCTGGCTCCCACTTCCCCCACCACTTTGTGGACCAGCATGGTCTTGCCCACACCTGAAGGCCCCACCAGGAGGACACCTCTAGGACACGACACACCCAGTGAGTTCAGGGTACCTGGGTAAAGCAGAGGCAGCTGCAGCATCTCTCTCAGGGAAGCACTTACCTAAAATACAGTAAAAACAAATGTATGTGTCACATAGTTCCCCCTGCACATGAACACCAATTATTTCAGTAAAGTGAGTTCATGCTGACCTCCTCCAGACCCCCCAGTGACACTGTGTTCTGGTCCTGCAGCTGACTCCTGTAATGGCGGATTGTCTGGATGCCAATTATCTCCATGCTAGTTTTTGAGGTGATTAATCCACTGGCAGAGTCCGGGAGAAGGCTTTCAATAACAACATATCTGATCTCTGTATCAACGTCCTCCAGGTTTATCACATGCTTCTCGTGGACACATACACCTCTCAGCATGTCTTTCACGAGCTCGTGAATAAGGCGGTGAGGTGTGTGTTTCTTAAAATCAACACTCTGGACTACCACAGTTATCTTAACACCTTTCAGTTTGGGGCAGGGTACAGGTGTGAGTTGGTCGGGGTCCAGGTGCAGGAGTGTGGGAGGATGAGAGATCAGACTGGGAGACGAACACTTCAGGTCCATCTGCAGAAAACCCTCTGCCAGGTCACAGCGGGGCCAGGCGGTGCACAGGCAGCTTCCCCCGGGGACAGACACCAGCAGGGGGGAGCCCAGACGCAGACCCAGTGCCGACATCAAGCCTGGACCCAGCCTGCATCTCTGAGAGCCCCGGTCTGACGGATCCACCGACAGCAGCCTCAGGGACGTCATTGACTCAGCCTCCGACCACACTGACAGGAAAATACAAAACAGGATGGATCAGCTCGAAGAATATTTGAACCATGTGTTGACATACAGCTCATGTGGGTTGATCACACTTTGTCTGGCACCTTTCAACTCTTTGTTCTGGGTCTAACGATATGTCACTTGTGTTTGTGTCTTTTCCATTAAAAGTCTATAGATGTCTGTAAACCAAAGAATATAATTTCACAGTTTCAAACTTTACTTCTAAAAAGCAACACACGTGTAAATAAGACACTGAGTGAAGCTGTTTATCATCAGCTCGTGTCTAAATTAAACATCGATAACACAAGATCAGTGTTTTCACCGATCAACAGAGTTCATTAACACATTTCAGGCTTAAAAGTGTAAATAAATAAATAAACAGACGGAGCTGCAGCGTTAGCTAGGCTACATGCTACTAGCTATTAGCAACAACGTCATTCTCAGCGATAAATGGGTTTTAACTCGATAAACGTCACACGGTTACTCACCAGGTGAAACAGGTGACGTGTGGCTGAAGTGTGATGAAGGTTCGCGGATCTGAGATCAGCTGATCAGCTGACAGGAGCGTGAGAGGAGCACTGAGTCCGAGAGGGAACCTGGCTGCAGACAAGATGGCGGAACACCGTCCTCCCCGGGCGCATGCGTAACAGACATCTCCGCCCTTGACAGGAAGTGATGTCATTCCAACAGCGGACGTTGTTCTGCCGTTTTCCTCCGCGTGAGTTAGAAACAAACACATTTATCAAATTATACAAACTTTATTTATTAGAAATGTGTTTTTTTAAAGTCAACCGACAATCGGTGCTTTACGTTCTGTTTCATTTATTTTTATTGAGCCAATATAAAGTCAACAGGGATTTATTAAAGTTAATTATTTGATGTGCTAATTTAGATAATGCAAATATTTTAAGCACTATAAACGATGTGAATATAAGCTGTAGAAGTCTGCCTCCAAACTAACAGCTGATCTCAGACACTAACATGAGGTGAGTGCAGCACAGTTTGATCTTCTTCTGTATGTTTGTCTGGGAAGATGATTTCAGGAAGGTGCAGGAAATAGAAAGATTTGAACTGTTTGTTATTTTCTTGTTTTTCTCTGGATTCGTTATTGAGGTCGAATATCATTCAGACTTTTTCTTCTCTCACGACTTTATATTGTTATTCTGTGTGTTTACAGACCGAAATGTTTGTTAATTCAACATGAAATGTTTATTTGTGGTTGAAGTTGGTT